TTTCGCAGCGCTTTGACTGGCGCAAGTTTACCGTGTGCGCGGACAAATGCCTAACCAGCACTTGGCACATCTTCAAACAGTACAGCAGCAGGCTCCCACGAGTCCTCTAGAATATCTAGCCCCCGCCAGTGCACCTTAATCTCGTGGCATTTTTCGTTCTTATTGTAGCGTGCCTTGAGTAGGCTCTCCACGATATGTCCCTCACTGCTGTGCGCAATATGCTGAAGAAGGTCCTCGTTGACGTTAAGAGAGATGTCTGCATAAAATTTTAATCGACTGGCATGGGCCTCTTTGCGCTGTCCTGTTACCAAGTTTTTAATTCTCAAAAACCCAGTTGGTTTCCGTACCAACTACTTGAGCAGGTCCGCACCACTTCACACGAAGCTTGCTGCGTGTATGTTGCCACACATCTGCATATAGCACAAAGTCCCCAATGTCAAATTGCGCCATCGTTGTTCCCTTCTTTTTGTTCCGTGCCTCTCTGCCCGTAGCGCGAACAGCGTTATTCACTTGACTTGCGCGTCAGTGGATATCCACTAGTGCTTGCTGCACTCTCTCCACATTTTGCAGCTGTGATGTCTGAATAGCGTCCAACGTGACCGATTCTATCGCACCTGGTATGAAAATTGTATCACCGGGGCGTATGGCTGGAATCCCTGTCATTGCAGTGACAGGAGCCACTCCACCCAGCGACGGGAACGGAGTATTATTGAGCACCATCTGCACGATCTTCACTACTCTAGGTTATTACCGAGGTTGTAATTTCCATTCCGAAAGGAGAGCCCTGCAGCAGCGCATCGTCTCTCTCATCACCACTTCTACAGTTCCATTCGCCCATGGGCATCGAGCCGTGGTGAAGTGGTGGTGGGCCCCTAACGCATGCTGGAGCGCCTCAATGGTCTTATTTTTAAAGTGCGTGCCCTGGTCACTGACCCAGGTGCGACACACACCGAAACAAGAAAACCAGTCCATTAAACAGTGAAAAGTAGTCTCGGCATCCGCTGCTTCACATGGCAGCAGCCACACAAACTTTGACGCGTCGTCATTAATGACTAACACGTACATTTCACCGGTTGTACTGCTTTTCATGTACAAGTAGTCCCAGTGAATCAACTCGTTGGGCCGCTCTGCGTGCATCGCTTCTCCCAGAAGACGAGGTTTGGGCGGTCCACTCAGAGTACTTGCACAATGTAGGCATCGACGAGCAAAAAACGCAATGTCTTTCTCGATGTCTTTCCAGACAAACTCAGCAGTCACCCTTTCCACTGTAGTTAGCGCCACGGTGACCTGCCACGCCAAAATGACCCACCACGCAGATACGTACTTGGAGTTCCACCACTTCGTCCGAGAACCAAACTCTGCCTTTATCATCTGTCCACAATGCATTGGTCTCTGAGCGAACCAAGTCGCTTGGTCGTGCTGCTGCATCTTGTGCAGTAGCAATGTCCACCTGCGCCGGCCAGACAAAGGTGTCATCGAGCTGTGGAGAAAGCGGCAAGTCAACTTGTCGAATCGTGCACACGGTTTTGAAAGACGAACCCCATCTAGACAGCAGCTCGGCCCAGACATTTTCCTCTCCAGAGATGTCGTGGATGTCGTACTTGTACGCCATCAATAACATCGACCAGCGGTGCAGCTTATCTGCTGTGTATCGTGCAACAGACGTAGAAACGCTATGTGGATCAAATATGTACCGCAGGTTCCTGTGGTCTGTAAAAAAGGCGAATCCGTCCGGGCGATGCAGTAGATAGTCCGCACGACGGCAAGTTTCAATGATAGCATAGGCTTCTTTCTCCACAATGGCCCACCGCTTTGCAGAGCCTGAGAAGGTTCCGCTCAACATCAGTAACGGCTCGTGATCTTGTTCACTAAGTGGTCTGCTAGCCATTCCGGGAGAAATCTGGGTTATTGCGGCGCCCCAATGTTCATCACTTGCGTCGGTATAAACTGAAAGACGTCTTTCGGGGCTCGGGTGTGCTAGCTGAAGCGCATTTTTCAGTGCCTCTTTGCACCGCTCAAGTCAAATGGCTTCTGTACTTCCCCAACCTGCCTCACTGAGCTGAATCTTCCTTACTTGGTTCTTCTTACGCCCTCCTGCCTGGCCATATACTTTCTCCATCAACTGTGACAGAGTGGCCACCAATTTATTGTATGCTGGAATTGCAGTGCGCATCCAATTAAGCGCACAGATGAACTGTTGTAAATCCTGACCAGTACGACGGGGTGGAAGGTTCGCCAGCGCAGCAAGTCGTGCTGGGTCATATCGTACTCCATCACCGGACACAATACGTCCACACCAAAGTGCTTCACGCTGGTAGAACGAAAACTTTTTAGGGTTTAACTTTAATCCCTTTTCCGCACAAATAGTCAACACGTTCTTTAGCAAGCCAAGCAGTACCTCATCGCTGCTCTAATAACCCAAAAGATCATCAATCCAAATGAGCAACCCATTGTTGAACACTTCAGCAAACATCTCTTGAGCTGTTGACTGCACATACGCCACGCTATTCGTGCCACCTATAAGTACCCGAGTAGGTGTTATGACCTTTTCCTCTGTGAGAATGGAGTAAATTTCCTGACACTCCACGGCCATGGCAAACTGCCAAAATCCCTTAAAAAAGTCTAGCGAGAAGTATCGTGATGATCCACGAAGTCGGTCGAAAATTACGTCCAATATCGGCATTGGCCACACGATTTGTTCCACACATTCGTTAGGTCCTCTAACATCGACTGTCATACGATGGCTTCCAGCTTCAGGCTTGTTTACAACATGTGGAGGCGAACACCAGCGGCTGCGTGGGTTTCTGTAGCATAACCCAGCTGATATTTGAGCGTCAATGTGTTCTTGAGAAATTAACGGTGCGTCTGAGAGTACCTTCTCGCTCGGCACCGCACTGGCACGGCGCCAGGCTTGAGTGTCACCGCCATTGGTGGCATATCCACAGGTCTATCTCTTTCAATAATCAAGCGAAAGACGTCAATAAGCTCCATCAGTATGGCCTTCACTTTTTCAACGAATTCAAGTGACGCTCCAAGACGCCGAGCTTCCTCGGCTTTCTCTAGTAGTATGCTTTTAATCAACCCGCGCTGTGTATCCATATCATCAGTAAAAGTAGGAAAACAGATCTGATCTTCATCTTCCTGCAAATTCAATTCTTCCTCTGCAGGTTCGACACGGTTCAACTGTCCTGAGTAAGCTAAAACACTCGCCATTCCACTCGTTGTTTATTCTGTCACATCACTCATATCCCAAACGGACTGCATCTGCTGCGCTACAGCCAGTAGCTTGTCGAAGCTATACCCCAATCGTACTATAATCAAACGAGATAGCAGTAAATCTCCCACTCCAGGCGGAAGTGGTTGATCAGTCACCCAACAGATTACATTCTCCAAAACGAGAGGTCCACGAGGGGTTAAAAAACGTAGATCCAGTTTTACTTTGCTAGTTACTGGCACCGGTCTGTCCCCGATACCCGTAGCTGCTGCTTTTCCAGGTAAGTCTTGCTGAGGAACTCAAGACCCACTCACCGACAACCGCTTCAGTAGCTTAGTTGACAGAAGGCACTTCCGGTGGTCGTTGGTCCACTATAGGCGTAGCGCCCTGAGCAAAGGCCCCCCAACGTGCCTGCAGATGTGGTTGCACGGCTTCAGCCAGGCTCTCGAGGCGCTGGCCTTGCGATCCAACTGCTTCCTCGGCAGCACGGAGCAAACGGTATTGCTCGTCCAGGTACTGCCGGTGTTCGTCCATCTGACGCTTCAACTCCTTTTGTTGCTCTAACAGCTCCGACTGTCGGTCGTGTTGGGCCTGGAGATACTCCGATGTCTGCCCCGCAAGTCGGTCCTGCTGGTGCTGGACATGGCCAAGCTGCTCCGCGGTCGGCTGCTGCACCGCTGCCGAATGATGAGCTAGAGCTTCCACTTGGCGACTTGTCCTTGATTCGCCACTTTGTATCACCGCTGTCTTTGTAGTCGTCTCCTCCAACCGTACGTCACGGTCCGACTAAGGAGGGAGCGGCGGGTACACTGCCACAGGCCTTCCGCCGGCAGAATGTGGCACCATGCCTCGTCAGCGTCTTCCATGCTGAGCGCGACCCCCAGCTAAAGAATTCTTTGATCGGTGTCGCCGTCAAACTAAAAGTAGAAGTGTGTTCATTTCTCTGTTGTTAGAAAAGAACTAAAAATATGCAAATTGCGGGATTGGTCGGTGGTTACTCAACCTCTTCGTTCGAGGTATAAACACCGACCAGATGTGCTGTAGTTGCTGGGCACCATCACAGCAACTTACTGTACTTGTAGCAACCGCTACAACAGTTCACAGGAACTGGATTACCAACCGCTACTAATACAACTCGAATCACTGTTTCAAGCAATGGATTTTCAGCTGGAACATATCCATCGTCCATCCAAACAACGAATCAAGTATTATTGAGCAACATATCTCCCCAAGTAAATCCAGCCAGTAGCTATTTAATCTCATTAATAACCGAGTGACTGTACCCCCAGACATTTTGACATCTTTTAGTGCTCAAGGAACATCTATTGGTCAGTTGATCTCAATTCAACCACCTGAATATCAATGGTTATCAATTAACGATGGAGCATATAGTAATATTACTCTGAGTATCGTTGATCAGGATTTTAACAATGTTAGATTTGAAGATCCAAATTCTCTAATTATGCTATTAATTCGTGACAGAAAAACAATAAGTTACATTTATATAGAGATGTGCTTAGAGAGCTTCAATATACCGGTGCGGAAAAAAGCTTCGCTTTAATATGCTTCCGAATTTTAAGTCTCTTCGCGATCGGAAAAATAAATTGAAGAGACTTGCTCGAGAAAACCTACAAGATCTACAGATAGAAAGCATTAAGAATGATACATGTAGATACAAACTAGCACAATGGGCTACTGATTTGAATAAACTATAGATTTTTCTGGACTAACCAAAGACCAAAAAGCAGTACCTTCCACTACGATTGGAATACAAGCAACACCTTTCATGACTACAACAGGATTACAAGCAGTGCCTGCAATGTCTACAACAGGATTATACGCAGTGCCTACAATGACAACAACAGGATTACAAGCAGTGCCTACAATGACAACAACAGAATTACAAGCAGTGCCTACAATGACAACAACAGAATCACAATATGATGATATCGGTGATGAAGAAGACTCCCTAAGTGTTATTGATGATGTTCAGAGTACATATGATTTTGGGACTCAAGTCGAAGCAAATGATTTCAAATTTCAAAAAAATGCTCGAGACAAAATAATTGATCAATACACCATTAATCCAACTATTAACAAAAGAAAAGTTAATCCAATTTTAATTTTTGGTACTCCAGATAAAAACGTATACATCGGAACAGACGGGAAACTATTCAATGTGAATAATGGTAAGTTCGCAAACAAGCCTCTAAATAAATATGATTGGGTTGCAACGTATGATTACATATTGAATTTTTTTAGCATTGAGACAAAAGATAATGCTATTGGTTCTATGAGTCAGTTTCGTTTTAACATTGAGTCTGGGGCACATGAAGTACTTTATGATATTTTGATGAACAATGCCTTTCCTGAAGGTACTCGTGATCCAATTCCGTATAAAAAGGGAAGAAACCAACACGGTGGCTATATTCCAGTAAATGGAGGTTATCGAGTGAAGTTAGTGGACGGAACATTGAAAGTCTTTGATGAAACCCAACAGAGGGCTTTCTTGGGAATCGACGCTTGATATGTACATCAAATATATGAAGCAAAATAACATCTCATTTAATCAATCACCAATGTTTAAAAATTCTGTCTAAAATACGTTCGCAAATAGTACTACTAACATCCAACCAGTTGACCCAAATGATAAAGTAATTTCTGATGGCAATAATCAAGTGAAAGACTTTTTATTAGATTATACAATGCTAACCCCTGGCTAGCTGATGAGAAGGTATTTCTAGAAGGTCCAAAGATTGGAAAGAAAACATATTACCTTGGAGAATACGCAGCAATCACGAGTAAGAAACAGAGAGAAATCAGTCCGTCGATTAAGAATCGAGTTGATAAAAATGCTAATTGGCTTGGAGCTCTGAATGAAATTATTGAAAAATATGGAGATCGCATCGAATCAGATGATATTAATGTCAAATTAGTAAATCCAAAACGTTTTCAAAGAGCTCTCTCGTTCTCGTCAATTGGTTTAGGCTTTGGGAGTCAAGCCGGTCGACGAGGCATTTTAAAACATGAATTTTACAAGCTTCAAGGTGAGATTGGTTTAGGTAATGCTAATCGTCGCTTGGAAAGAGAGTTAAAATTGATTCGACGAGCTTTTTAGATTGTGCTAATATACCAGGACGGATTAACAATGATGAATTCGAAAATTATAAATTGCGATATCCAAACCTTCGAGGCAACTCGATCAAATCAGCTGCGCATACTAATCAAGAAAGACTATTGAAACTCTCAATAAAAGAGACTCATGAGCGCACGCGAAGTGAAATTCCAAAGGGATTAGGAATAGATGCTCCAAGGGCTTCAACAAAAAATAAAAAAGCAACGACATTTGCACTGTAGAGCTGATTGGTCTGAAGACCAGTCGTACTTGTCCGCCGGTCAAGGACCTATCGGACTGTCGCTACCAGAGGTAGCCGAGCAATCTTCGATTGCGATTCGTCCGTACCTTTGTTTATTTTTTTTGAAATCCTTTTTATTTCAAGAAATATAGATAGTTTACGCAAATATGAACACTTGCGTTACGGTCAGTTGTGATGAGCCCTCAGACGCTCAGAAAAAGAAGTTCCTAAAGACATTGAAAGTATCATTCACTACTTCTCAAGTTAAAGGCTCTTCAAAGAAGATAGCCCTTCATCCAGAAAACGCAAAATAATGGAAAAGGCTGCTCAAGCTGGTAAGGGAGTATCAATTGTATTTTCACCAGGTGAAATCGCTGCTTCACTAAATACGCTCTTACGGGGTCTGGAATGAGTGGAGGGTCGGTACGGAGTTGGATCAGGGATAAAGCATGGCCTTGGTTGAAAGAGAATATATGGCCAGTTATTAAGCCATTTGTATCGGGAGCTGTTGATACAGGCGCTCAAGCCCTAGGAGCATATACTTGGCATCCAGCTTTAGTTAATGCTGCTCGTAGTACCGTAAAGGATTTTAACTGGAGTAGGTGTTCCAAAAAAAGGATCGCCTGAGATGAAAGCTAAGATGGCTAAACTACGTTTTATGCGAAAGAGTGGAGGAAGTTTTAAATTATAATCTAATTCCAATAGAGCGAAGCTCTGAGGCCTTAGACCGATGAGCAAGCTCTGTGGTCGGCAGAACAATATCTACTAGTGTAGGGATGACACAAGTCATTTCTTTCGTAGAATAGTTTCCTGTATTTTTTTTTGAATCTGATCAAACGGAACATTGAAGACATCCTCCAAGCGAGATTGGTACCGTCTATCAACAATGAGGTACTTGAATTTCATAAACGGATTTATTTGAATCAATTGACGTTTGATGAGGTCGAATTCTTTTATCGTGTTAATCTGACTTTTATATTTTTGTAGCTCCTTGTATTGCTGTTGTTGTTGTTAGCGGTAAATGCCGAAGTAAGTAGATTAAAGTCAATTAAATATGTCCTCTAAGCTTCTACTCTAGCGTTGTCCTCCTTGTTGTCCTCTTGTCAAGCGCTTCTGGCCATCCACCAGATTAACCTGTTTGGGAACGGTCCATCCTGGAACGTTCAGCCGGTTAGCTAAACCGTGCAGAGTCGGTGTGAATTAACACTCCCACTCACCGCTACTGCACGGCGTTCGTCTTCGTTAAGGATCGCTACTCAGCGGCGTTCCTCTTCTTGATCCCGCTTGCCTCTCGAAGGAACGCTAGCGACTTCGTTCCAAGCGCCTTCGTCAGCATGTCCGCAAGTTGGCGCTTCGTGTCGACATAGTCCACCTTGATTATAGAGAGTTCCACATTTATCCGAATGAAGTGATGTCGGATATCCACGTGCTTGGTCCTAGCATGATACCCAGCGTTACATGCAAGTGCGATAGCACCTTGATTGTCCTCCCAGACCTGCGTCGCTCTCGCGTGCTCGTGACCCATGTCCTTGAGAATAGCACGTGTCCACAGTACCTCTTGCGTACACAGACTCAGAGCCATGTACTCTGCTTCCGCTGAGCTGAGTGCAACCGTTTTCTGGTACTTGGACTTGAACACAACCGGAGCGTTCCCAATCATGACCATGACACCTGATACGGAACGCCTGTCGTCAATGTTGCTTCCCTAGTCTGCGTCCGTGAGCGCCTCTGCCTTAACACCTTGCGTTCCACTTTGGTAGACAATACCGTGCTGCCGATTTGTCTTCAAGAACTGCAGGACCCGTATCGCTGCCCTCCAGTGTTGCGCTCCAGGACTCTCCAGGAAGCGTGACAACTGCGTTACAACGTACGCAATGTCCGGTCGAGTGTATGTTGTGATGTACATCAGGCATCCGATCAAGGAACGGTACGGTCTTGACTGCATTTCACGTCGTACCTTCTCCGTGGCTGGCGACATCATCTTCGGCAGCTTCATGTTTGACGCGCATGGGTTATCCAACATCTTGGCTTTCCGTTGGTTGAAGCGTTCTACAATGTCGTCAATGTACCGAGTTTGCTTGATCATCAGCGTTCCAGCTGCCTTATCATGATCAATCCCCATCCCCAGGATGAACTTTGCCTTGCCAAGATCTTTCATCTCGAAGGCACTCTTTAAAGCGCCCTTTACTTCGCGAATCCCTTCGCGTGTCTTCGCCGCAAAGATCGTGTCGTCCACATACAGGCACACGTACACGAATGCGTCCCTGGAACGCTTGACGTAGACACACTGGTCGGCTCCACAACTCTTGAAACCGTTCTACAGGAACACACGATGGATAGTCTTGTTCCAAGCACTTGCAGCTTGCTTTAAACCATACATGGCCTTTAGCAGCTTGCACTTCATGCCTTCAGCGTTCTTGAGACCAAGTGGAACGTCCATGTAGACCAAATCCACCAAACCACTGTTTAGGAACGCTGTGTCAGCATCCAGTTTCTCCATAATGTAGTCGCATGCCACAGACAGCGAGTACAGCTCGAAACGAGTTCATGTTTGCAACAGGAGAATACGTCTCAACGAAATCGATTCCAAACTTCTGCTTGAGCCCTTGAGCTACTAGGCGTGCCTTGTAACGGATAGCACGACCGTCCTCGTCGCGCTTCTTGGTGAACACCCAGCGACATCCAATGGAACGCGTAGCCGTTCCACATGGAACCAACGTCCACGTTCCGTTCTGGGAATGAGAGTGTAACTCAGCCTTCATAGCCCGACGCCATTCAGCTGCTTCATCACTGACGATAGCTTCTGCGTACGTGTTCGGCGTATCCGGGACGCCTCCGATGCTGGCCGCGTATGCCAACACTGCCTCTGCGAGTAAGCAGTCTTCATCGATCCTAGGACGCTAAGGAGACGGCGGTCCATCACTACCTCTTTCAGACTGACGTTCCACATCGTCATCGTAGCCGTTCCCAAGCAAAAACACCGGTTCCCGTGGTCGGGTTGAGCGTTCCGTTTCAGGATGGAAGATTATCCGGTCCTCTTGGAACGCAGGAGGATGTGAGCGGTACGTTGCCAGTTCCAGTCCACTCGACCGGCGTTCCTCCGGTGCGGGTAGCTGTGGTAGCTCTGCGTTCCGTCCCGATTCAACATCGTCCATCTCAATGTCTTGAGCAGGTTCTTCCGCTTCTTCCATCGGTTCATCTTGAACAGACTGTCGCTCCACTTCTGGAGCTGGAACCACGGTATCGTCATCGCTCCTTGTCACATGGATGATCGTTCCAGAAGCTGGCGACGGCGTGTCATAGATACCGCCCACCTCACGCTCGTCCAGCTTTACCGATCGTGACACCTTGACCTTGGATGCATCCAAGTCGTAGACACGATACCCTTTTACGCTCTCTGCGTATCCGAGGAACGTGCACCTGAAGCTCTTGGGTTCCAACTTCGTTCTCTTCACGTCATCCACGTGAGCGTACCCTTGTGATCCAAACACGCGTAGGTGTTCCATCCGTGGCTTCACTTGGAACGCCAACTCATATGGCGTGACATCCGAGTTGGATGTGTTCGTGGAACGGTTGATAAGGTACACTGCAGTACTCACCGCTTCAGCCCACCACTCCGTCGACATAGACTTGTAGTGTAGCATGCTTCGTGCCTTCTCCATGATGGTACGGTTCATGCGTTCCGCAACACCGTTCTGCTGAGGGCTGTATGGAACGCTGCGCTGATGCACGATGCCATTCCGCTGACAGAGTTTCAATACCGTCTTGTTTACAAACTCCGTTCCATTATCGGAACGCAGGCACTTTAACCGTTCCCCCCACTGATTTTCATACAGCGCCTTGAACTCCTTCAGCTTGCTGCCACCTCACTCTTGCTCTTCATGAAGAATGTCACGACATACCTTGAGTAGTCGTCTACAAAGGTCAGCGCGTACTTGGCACCCCCCTTTGAGAGCGTTCTCATTGGTCCCATAACGTCCGTGTGTACTAGTTCCAACACATGCGTTGTCTTCGATAGTGATCGTGACGGGAACGCCGTCACGGTCTGCTTTCCCTTCATGCATCCACCGCCCAAAGTCTCGCAGCCCCTTCTTACTGGCGGGATACCGGTCGTGGAACGCTGGGTCTTCGTCAGTGCGTCCCTGTTTGGGTGACCCATGCGAACGTGCCAAAGCTCCCACTCGCTGTCTGCATCGGCGTATTCCACGAAACGGGCCTCCTCCTGCTGACAGTTCAACAGGGATGCCTTACCGATTTTCTTCCCGAACGCTATTGCAGCGTTCCGTCCTCAAATTACACAACTGGAACGCTGGAACTCCACACTCATACCGCGTTCCGCGAGCTTCCCGACTGACAATAAGCGTCTATCGAGCCCGGAGACGTGGAGCACGTCCACCATACGGATGCGACTACCGTCCAAACCAGTCAACTTGACCGTTCCAGTTCCTGCGACGTGCAGCTTCTTGCCGTCTGCAATCGTCACCTCCATGCTAGTGTCCAACGACTTGTACTCAAACAGGTCGTTCCGGTGAGAGGTCATGTGCGACGTCGCACCGCTATCAATCAGCCACCCGGCCGAGCGTTCCCCACCAACTGCAAACACTGCATCGTCTTGGCTACCCTTCTTCGTGGCAGGGCAGTCCCGCTTCATGTGGCCCACGTGGTCACAGTTGAAGCACTTGCCCTTGAAACCAACGTTCCGCTTCGGAGCGGTCCACTTCCGACCGTTCCCTCGGCCGTTTCGGAACTTGCCTGCGTTCCCATTCACTTGGAACGCCTTCTCCGTGGTTTCCTTCTTCTCGAGTCGCTCATACTCCTTCAACAGCTTCTCCTTGGCCTCGATAAACGTCACACCCTTGGCGTTCTCCACGATAGACGATATGAGCTCGTATTCGGCGGGGAGGCTGCTCAGCCGTACCACCAGCTGACGTGCCTCGTCCATAGGCTCTCCCAGCGTCTGCAAACCGACGATCAGCTCATCGAACGCATCCAGATGCTCGGCCATAGACGATCCGCTCTCCATCTTGAACTCGTGCAGTCGACGCGTCATCGTCACGCGGTTGTGGAGCGTGGTGCGGTTGTAGAACTCGCGGAGCGTTTCCTATGCTTCCATGGAACGCGTCACCGACCGGATCTTGGTCTGGTGCTGGAGTTCCACACCCTGGGCGATGATGCCAAGCGCCTTGGCATCGTTGACGAGCCACGCCTCTGTGATCTCGTTCTCAGGCTTGACGACTTGAATATGCGCAAGCAAGCCCTTCCTGGCTAGCGTCATGCGCATATTGTACTCCCAATGGAAGTATTCCCACTGCCGAGGAGGACTTCGGCACGCTTGGTAGTCGTCATGGTCTTGAGCGTTCTTGCGTGGAGCGTTCCGGTCGAGTTGATGTTGCGGTTGTTAACCTGTTGTTGTTGTTAACGGTAAATGCCGAAGTAAGTAGATTAAAGTCAATTAAATCTGTCCTCTAAACTTCTACTCTAGCGTTGTCCTCCTTGTTGTCCTCTTGTCAAGCGCTTCTGGCCATCCACCAGATTAACCGGTTTGGGAACGGTCCATCCTGGAACGTTCAGCCGATTAACTGAACCGTGCAGAGTCGGTGTGAACTAACAGTTGCTCAGCTAGTACTCTGTTCTTCTTATGAATAACAGATAGTTCCTTCTTAAACATTTGCATTTGAATTATATTACAGCGTATCATTTCCATTTCACTAGATATTTGTGCTAGCCGTTGCGTTGCTTCTTGTGGTCCAGGATCTTGTCCACTTCAAACACAGCATTGTTCTCGATTGGTGCATCAGTTTTCTCTGCTTTTACAATTTTCAAGTCATTAACTGGTTTGTATAGGACATGATTATTGTTTGATTTAATACGCATCTTTAGTCCATCTAATCCAATAACTTCGTACACAGCTTTTGAATATCTCGCACCTTCTTTTTCAAATGGCTTCAGATTCAAACGATAACGTACAATAAAACTAGTTGGAATGCCTTTTTGTACTTGCTTAATCACTCGTTTACTGTGCTCAATTCCGTCAAAAATAACCCTCCCTTCCATTTCATTTGGTGTTGCTTTTATGGATGAGTGCTTCGTATCGCTGTAGTTAGCGATAGCATCATTCAAAAGTTTCTGTGTGAGCTTCTTGAAACCCATAGTGTCTTGCATCTTTGTTATTCTAGCCTTTACAGTTCTGATAAAAGGATCTATCTTTCCAAGCACTATATGGTCAACTGGAATATTATTAGCATGAGTAATTGCAGTTTTATCAAAACACTTTTCGACTGTTTGATTTGTGAATTCAGATCCACTATCTGACATCAATGCGGACACTTCATGCTCTGTAATGAATTGATCAATAGCTTTTTGAACCGTAGCTGCTTGTTTGTTTTTCAATAATTTGGCGTATCCAATGCGACTGTTGATATTAACTGTTATCAATATAGGTTGCTTGTTCCAGAATGCAAGATCCATTTGCCATTCGTTGGGATGGTTTGATGCAATTTTAAACTCAGGATACTTCTTCTTTTGAGTAGAATGTTGCTGGATGCTACTTTGTGTCTTGTGCCATTCTTTGACTTGTTTTAGTGTTATACGTATATCAATTTATTTGGGTCATAATAGAGCTGAGTAAGTAGAGAGTCCATTGTTATACTATTTGAACGATAATTTTCGTTTGAAAATTTAACCGTAAGTGTATGTTTCAAGTTGTTTACTTGGAATGCCTTTCATACGGGTATGCATTCCCTGGACGTCATTACCATCACAAGCAAGTATATCCAAATAACTCTTTTTACCAAGAAAGATAGATTCTTTAGCATAGATATTACCTTCGGATCCTTTAAGATCGAAATCGACGTGAAATTGTCCCATTTGCTTACCAATCAACTCTATGTTATATTTTTGTCTAAAAGCATCTGCAAGTCTAATGACAGCATCGTAATCGATGTGCATAGAGTCTGTGTCCTGGTACCATATCTTTGCGTCTATGTCTTCTGCTAAACACATAACTCGGTTCATAATATGTTTACTTGAATCTAATACCTGAACACCTAAGTGTGCTGGACTAAAATGTTCAGATAATGACTTATATTCTTCAAATAGTGCTAAATGATCCGTAATTGGCGTTCTAGATATCATTTTGTGGATGTTTTTATTTGTGTATTCAAGACTCTTTACCTTATCACTAATCATTACCTTTTGCTTAACAATAGGCTTTTGGATTAGTTTACCATATGCAGAGTTCATCAACAATTTAATTCCATTCTGTAGAGGATTACCTTCTTTCTTTAATTTCAAACGTTCCCCAAAAAGTGATTTGATTGTAGTTACAATTTGATTATTGAATCCTTCATTCCAATAGATACCTTCCATAATTGAAACTTTAACATCCTGGAATTCAATAACATCTTCAAGCGCTTGCTTACCCAATACCATAGTCTTCCCAGCAATATCATTAGTAAAGTTTCTAGCTCCATCTTCATAGAAACTCAGCAATGGAAAGTGTCTGGGCTTACCAATTGACTCAAGTTTTACTCGAGCAATATAGTAATCAGCATCAGGAGGGATTTGGCCTCTAAACCATTTATGGTTTTCTTTAAAATAACCATCGAGTTCAGCTTGTGCTGATGGGTATAGGGATACGGCGTCAAAATCAGCATTGTTATGCTGTATATGATGTTTCTCATTGTCTTGAGTCATAACACGACCACCAACAATTGCATCGCGAACGAATGCTAGAACGTTTCCATTCATTGCATAACAATCATCAAAGCAACCCTCATTATGTTGAACAGCATTTGCTAATGAAGGCATTGACATAAAGCGATACACATCAATATTAAATCGATCAATAAACATTTTTCTAAATGCCTCAAAACAATTTCGTAGGACATCAACATCTCGTTCGCAATAGTGAATAGCATACTATTCACAATCAAAATATTTATCATCACAGGCGTTGCTCTTTGACGCATTAGCTATTAGTGTTTCTTTTTCTCATAGTAATCTAATAGATCCATTGGCCAAAGCAGTTGATGATTGTATCTACAAACTAATTTATGTGGAAAACATTCTTTTTCTAGTGTCATATCAGTGCACGATGATTTAAACATTTCGGGCATATCTGCTAATTTACTAGCAATGAAACTCATAGTATCTTTAATAACAATTTCACGATCATAAAAGAAATCATGGGCTTGCTTTAATTTTGTTTCAGATTCAATCAAATTCGTATCCGTTTTTCTATATGATAAATGTCTAAGAATAAATCGACAGTCAAAGCCTGCATTGTGAGCCCATAAAACATTACGACTCTTTCTAGGTAAGTCATTCAGAAACTGAAGCTCACATCCAATTCCACAGAATTTTTTTTTTACTAAAGTGAATAATATTGGCTGAGGTCTTACGACCAATATAATATGACACACAATAAGGAATGTGTTCATTATCTTCAACCAGAGTTTCAATATCAAAATATACTCATTAACCTCAACAAACTTACCACCTTTTCCATTCTCATTTTTAATAAACTCTTTAAATGCAGAATGACCGAGATTCAAATTAGTTTCATTCGCTCTACCAATTCTTTTGAATAGACCTGCATCAAAATCGACTTCGGTTAAAGATTCAATCTTTTGATATTTATTATTCAATAACTCTGGTACATTGGTTTGCGTAATTGGATCTAATAAGGTTCCACGATGGTGATATAGATAACTAATTACCTCATAGCTATCAAGTAGTTTAATGCGATTGGATTTAAAAGATGCCTTTCCCTTTTTGACAAGAAAATCAGCTCGCTCATGTTATTCAACTAATTTAGGATTATCAAGAGCTGCTTTGGTAATATTAGTTGGATTGATAGCAAATAAATGCTGTCCAACAGAGCCTAATTTAATCACATGCTCACTTTTAACTCCATAGAAAGAAATTTTATTATCAGCTTTCTCTATAGTCTTACTATAGTAGCTTCACTGAGATGTATAGATTGAATGCAATAGCTGTCTTTCTAATGAAATCAATAGTAGCACCTGAGCTAAACATTGTTTGTGAGATGCTTTTAACTATTGTTTCATCAACCCCTGCGTGAGATAGAGCAAATAGAAAGCAGGGTGTTTCTCTTAGCTTTTTATATGAGTTATCTTCTACAATAGTCAATTCAGACCTAGCTTTTAAATCATAATAATAAACTTGAAAATCATTTAAATTATAATTAGCTTTAGTTAGATAACGAAAGAAATTCTTTTTCTCAGATCGAGAGCGCTTTGGATTGTTTAACCATTCAACTTCTACTGATGTTGTTGGTAGAATATCCAAATCAAAATCAGCTCCCGAACTATATTGTTTCTCTTCAGTAATGAATAAATTATCAATGTTAATTAGTCTATCTTGTAGATGATATGTTTTCAACACTGATCCATTTTCACCTTTAAAGTGAAGTAGAAGTTTTTTATCAGCTGGGGCTACAATTTGTTTGCGAATACGTTCGAATCGATTTAATTGTAGTTCAACTTTACCTGTTGTTTTATTGATAGCTTTTAGACTTGCTTTATCATTGTTTAGTTTAGCCTTACGAAGTGTCTTAACGATTGTATTCACTTTGGTTTTCTTGAACGCATTGACAGCCTTCTCCATATTGGAAGTTGTCATCTTCCATTGAACATTCAAGTTGTGAGCCTTAGCAAACTAATAAAGGTCGCTGCGGTTCTTTTGCACCTTCTTTAGGTTATTTGAGATTGGCTTTTAAAAAATGTCTTTGTATATTAAGGAAATCGTAAGTCAAGATAACAATGTCTTTGTATATATATATATATATTGTGATTAATAGTGTTTTCAAAAAAAAATGTTTCATTATTGTTGGATAGTGTTTTGTTTTTCTAATTTGCTAGCCTTGTATTTTTCCTTCCTGTCTTTACGATGAGCATCGTCGTATTCCTTTTGGTTCTTGAGAAGTCTCTCACGATTCTTTTCATGGTATCGCTTCATCGCCGCTTTAATTGAATCTTTGTAGCGTTCGTAAGATTCTTTAGTATAAACCATTTTGTCTTGTTATATTATAGTATGTTATATCTTTAAATAACTATTTTAAATTAATTAATTAGCTAGAAGTCATCAAAGTCGCTATCATAATCAAAGTCTGCTTCTTCAAAATGTATATCTGATGGATCATTAACTGTATAAAGATCTGGAAGATCTAGATCCATATCTGATGGATCTAGATTCATAATCATTTCTTCATAATGACGCATCTCTCCAGTAAATACTCTCATATATTCTTCAATTGACTTCGCAGTTGCTGCATGCCATCTTAATTCATGTTCAGGAGCTAATTGCTTTAATTGCATCCAAGCACCCATGGAATACTCATTTTAAAACTTTGTATAATTATATTTACTTTTATACTAAGTAGAAAGTTAATTAGAATAATATTACTTTTCATCTGATTTGCATTTATTGGAACTTTTCTGAATTTTCTGACAGGGGGTACCCTTGATGCTTTTGAGTAAAACTAATGATACTCTCAGAGCGTCGGATAGGTTCGATTAAAGGCTCTGGACGGTTGTGCGCTTTAGTGTTTCTACGTCTCCATTACATAGGATGGGGCTTGTCGAAATTAGATTTTTTAGATTTTTTCTGCTTCTATTAGTGTAGGGATGGGGGTTGAAAGGTGTACAGGGGGAGCGGATAGATTAGGGTGCAAATGGCGCACTAGTAGTATATACTTGCGGTTACCAACCTCTGCGCGAACAAACTTGCGCCGCGCTTTATTGGGCCGTTTACGGTAAGGCCATTGATGATGCTTACACACTTGGCATTCCTACGTCACTACGTCTGCATCCGACGTTTACGTCGAACGACTCAAGAAGTATCACCCCGCTACGATTCCAGAGTCGTCTCAGTCTACTGAGCCAGAGCATGCGTCGAGCGACCTTCTCGACGGGCACGGTGAGCCATCGATCCATCCGCACCAGGAGTCGGATCTTGAGGCTGAGTCCCCGTCTGTAAGCGACCGTGAACCGACCTCTCCAGCATCTGCAGCCGAGCAAGGATCTCTCTCGGTTCGACTGACGCAGCTGCACACTCTCCCCGGTGGCCCGCACAGTCTGATCGAGAGCCTCATCCAACTCCTGCTGGGCATCCCAGTAGTGGTTCAGCAAGTCGTTCTCCTTCTGGGCAGCCAGAACGCGAGTGTCATCGACGCGACGGCCCTCCTCCTGTTGTTGACGCTGTCGGAGATTCCCGCTGGATTGTTGAGCACATCGTTGCCCACGAAGATCCACTTCGCGCTCCCAGGCGTCATCGTGGGTGAGCCCACGATGTAATGGGCCCTCCCAAGTTACATATGTAGGTAGTTTTATAGGTTCTTTGTAGTGGTTCACACCATTACATAAGTAGGTAGATTTGCATTACAAAAGTAGGTGCGGCAGCACACGAGTAGCGTGTGCTGAACTGCCGTCACCTTATTGGTTGAAATATGGGAAGCCAGACCCATAATCAACCAATAATGAGTTGACGTGTATTTGAGTGGTCAGGGCAAGCTGCCCTGGACCTAAATAAAAACAGAGTTGATTTTCCTTCAGACTAAGTACTTGGTTTCAGTATCACTGGACTTGTACGCTTCCTCATCACTACGTGTAAGCAAGTAACGGACACCCCAGGCCCGTTACACCTGGTAGCACTTTGTAGTCCTCCCCATGACCAAGCTCACGATGAGCCAAGGTATGACGTCTGAAACTCCAGGGCCGACCCTGGAACATGCTGCTTTCCCTCATCTCACTCGTGTCGAGTGAGGAGCCCTTCACCGCCTCGCGGCGGTGTCTGGTGAGGCTGTAATCGCGTCGCTGCTGAGCTCAGCGACGTCCGACCAACAACGCCAAGCAGCCCAAGCGTTCATGGAACGCGAGCTAGGCGATGCGAATCGGCGAGCAACAACTCCCGCGCGTTCCTCGAAAAATGATGTCGTGAAGCTAGAGACGTCTACCTACTCCGGTGAAGGAGCGAATCGCCTCCCGCTGAACCGGTGGTTTCGCGAGATCGATATCGCGATCGCTTCGAGAATGATCGAAGCGCAAGGGACAAAGGTCAATTTCTTATTGTCCCGGTTGTCCGGGAAGGCCAAGGAATGGGCCCTCGGTAAACTTGTCGTTGATCACGACGCATTCCCCACTCTGGCGTCTCTCCAGAAAGATCTCAGACTCGCGTTCAGCCACCTCAAGACGAATCCCGCGTGCGTGCCGAGTTCTTCGCTCTTCGTCAAGGTAAAATGACTATGCGCGACTACGTTCAAAGGACTCGCCACCTCGCGTCATGCATCGTGACAAATCCGATTGACACAGCATCGCAGGTCCATGTATTCGTATTCGGCATGCGTGAAGGCATGACACGGTACTGCCTGACCCGAGCGGAACCTTCCTCTCTCGAGGAAGCATTCGCCCTCGCATTACGCGAAGACTACGTTGTGGCGGCGTCTTACGCGCGCGTGATGTCAACGGCAGCTCGTGAGTCAGCCCCCGAGCCCATGGAGATCGACGCGATTGACGCGTCGAATAGTCACCGTCAGTCGACTTCTCGTGGGCCCAACGGCCGTTCTAATCGCCCGCTCACTTGCTTCCGCTGCCGGAAGATCGGTCATCGCGCGGCGGAATGCCGCGCGCCAGCGCCGGTACTCGCGCACACCGCCGAAGTCTCACCTGCCGTTCAGTCAAAAAACGGTCAGGGCCAGTAGGTGCGGGGCGCCCTACTGGCTGGAATGG